TCTCTCCCTCTACCTCTCCCTTGCTATTATTTGAATGTGTAGTTTCCATTGTTTTTCATAATGTGCATTGCCATTGTAAATTATATCAAGATTATTGCTGTCTATTTATGCAAATTTGCGCTGTCCAGACGGTGAGATTAAGGGGACAAGGAATAATGAGATAAAATGCAATGTGAAATAAATATAGGAATAACAACTAGATTAAATGATTAAATGAACAAAAATGGACAGAAGGAGACAGTGATGTTAAAAGGGAAGATAACTTAGAAAGAGTTGAATGATGATAAGGTGATAAGAGAGAAAGAAAATATTTTTCTTGACTGAAATAAATGGAAAATTTAGATATTAATTGCGGGTCGACTTATTTGATATTAGAGAATATAAGAGCAAAGTAAGAGATGGAAGTTCCCGTTTGTATGGCTGTATATTCATTGCCATGTTTATAAATACAAAGAGGAATACACACACACACACACACACACACACACACACACACACACACACACACACACACATATATATATATATATATATATATATATATATATATATATATATATATAAACACACACAAACACACACACACACACACACATATATATATGTATATATATATATATATATATATATATATATATATATATATACACATATATATATGTATGTATGTATGTATGTTTGTATGTATGTACATGTATATATATATCCATATATATGTATATATATATATATATATATATATATATATATATATATATATATATATATATATAGAGAGAGAGAGAGAGAGAGAGAGAGAGAGAGAGAGAGAGAGAGAGAGATAAATGAATATATAGATAGATGGATAGATAGGTAGATAGATAGGTTGATAGAGACATGCATGGATACATACAAACATGCATATATATATATAAACACATATATGTATGTGGATGTTAGCACACACACACACACACACACACACACACACACACACACACACACCCGCACACACACACACACACACACACACACACACACACACACACACACACACACACACACACACACACACACACACACACACGCACACACACACACACACACACACACACACACACACATATATATTCTAGACGAAGGCATACTTAAAATCACATGAGAGAAGAACTCGACCCATAATAAAAGGTAAAGGGCGAAGTAAAAGAATAAAATACTCCTCCAAATAGTGCTAACGATCACTTTCCTTAAGCAGGTGTCACTCGGGCGCGATACAGATGTGTTCAACCCAGTTTGGCTGAATCCGTGAAGCAGTTAGGGTGACGCCAGACTTAGCATAACACATTCTTAAGCAGATATTTTTGCCTGCTTTCTCTTCCTTAGTGTAAGCCGCTTTCTCTTTTCTCCTTGACTTTCCTAAGACTGAGGATTGATACACTCGTCGGTTGCAAATCAGATAAAGTGCTTGGCCTTAATTCTTGTACTTCGTCAATATCAAGCTTCGAACTTCCAGAGAAACTTTGTGTTTTGTTCCTCCTAGTCCCCCCCCCTCCCCCATGGCGAAGCTTCGGTGGCGCCCTCGCTTCTTCCTCCTCGTGGGCGTCGTACTGCTAGCGGCGTGGGCGTTCGTGGAGGAGGCGAGTCGCGTGCCGGACACGCTCAAGCACACCGACCTGTTCGACGCGTGGCTGCTACAGAATCGGAATAACATCAGCCGCTACGAGATCAAGAAGCTAGGCCTCGACGCGGACTCGGAGACGTACCAGCGGTGGCTCGTCTTCAAGCTCCTCGACAGCCTAGGGGAGGGCAACGTCACGGGAAGGATACGCGACTCGCAGATCCTTCAAGAGTACATGCAGTACCAGAAGTGGCTCTCGCAAAGGCCCGAGGGAACGGGCCATGCCCCCGGCGCATTGGCAGAAGGAGACCGCACCGTTGAAGGAGAGCAGGACGACTGGCAAGACCCGCTCGCGGACGACGGCGAGGACGTGGAGTACGAGGACGACGACAATGAAGAAGAATCGATTGAGCTGCGCCTTCAGAAGCGCCGGAACAGCATGCTTACCTCTTGTGCAGCGGAGGAGCAGAATTGGGCGATGGAGGATCTCGCCCGAGTGTGGCCGCGCTTCGGTTTCTTCTTCGATCAAAAGACCTCCGTCTGTGCTGTTGGCAAGGTAAGGTATCTGTCAACAACACTGGGATTAACCCTCTGCGTTCTTTCCTCTTGTATGTAATATGTATTTCTATCAATCTCTATGTATATACACTCTATGCACACACACACACACACACACACACACACACACACACACACACACACACACACACACACACACACACACACACACACACACACACACACATATACATATATATATCCACATACACATATGCACAAATATAATAATTTTGTATATATATATATACACACACACACACACACACACACACACACACACACACACACATATATATATATATATATATATATATATATATATATATATATATATATATATTTATATATATATATATATACATATACACAAACAAAGTGAAGTAATCTGACGAAGTGTATGGATATCCCTCATGAGGAGGACTATCGTTTTTCATTCCCCGTAAAAAGTCCTCAGTGTCTATTGATCTACTGGCTATCACTTTATGTAGCTGATGCACTAAAACGGCTTTGCGAGTAATATTTAGAATATGCCCATTACCGTTGTTATGTGATTATAACTACTTATACGTTGCATTCGATATGAAAATATTCATGCACAGCTGTGAATTTCAAGGTGAGAGGATTTGCATTGGGTAAACGGGAGCTGAGTGCAGGTTCGAAGAATTTAGATTGTAGTTTCATATTCCACTGCAAATTGATGTTCACACACACACACAAACACACACACACACACACACACACGTATATATATATATATATATATATATATATATATATATATATATATATATATATATATATATATACATACACACGAGGATATATGTATATATATGTATATATATATGTACACACATATATCCATATGTGTTTATATAGGTATATATTTTTTTTTCGGCCATTTGTTCCACTGCAGGACATAGGCTTCTCTCAATTCAATATTTGGAGGTTATTTGGTAGTTCTACCCTTGCCTGATTGGATGCCCTTCCTAATCAACTGCGGTTCGGCGCGTAAACACTTGTGCCATAGCGGCGACATCCCCCTACGACACCTGCGGTTGATTTTCCAAGGCGATATATCTTTCTATCGCCGTGAGATCGGGCTCGAGCCAGCAGTCGAAGCTCTGGCATTTTTTACAACCGACGCGACGGGGAATTGTCCAGTGCTCTAGCCACTAAACCATCGCGGCAGTCATATATATATATATATATATATATATATATATATATATATGTATGTATGTATGTATATATATATATATAATATATATATATATAGATTATATATATACATATATATATACATTATATATATATACATTATATATTTACACATATATTTGTACCTATATATATATGCATATATATGTTTTATATATATGTGTGTGTGTGTATTTATATCTATATCTATACATGTATATATATATATATATATATATATATATATATATATATATATATACATATATATATATATATATTATATATATATATTTTTCCTCATCATCAGCCTGAATCAATCCACTACAGGGCATAGGCCTCTTCCAATATTTTTTAACTTTGTCGAATTATTTGTTACCTCTTGTCATTGATCTGGCCCTTGGCCTCTTTATGTTATGTATAGCCCAGTCTGTTAATCTATTTGTCTATCTGTCGTCCTGTCTCCGACATATATGACCTGCCCATTGCCATTTCTTTCTTTTTGATGCTCACAAGTATAGCTTTCACTTTTGTCTGTTCTCATCCGATCTCTTAAGCTAATTCTCTGCATCAACCTCTCCATCTCTCTCTGGGCATTTATTAGATATATCTCTAGTAATTTGGTTGTAGTCTATGTTTCTGGTCCATAGGTCATAACTGGGAGGACGTATTGTGTAAAGACTTGGCTATTTTTAAACATAAAGGCATGGAGCCTCTTAATATGCTACTGTCGAAGGCGCTCCAGCCCAGACTTTCTCTTATTTGGGTGAAAACGTGAATGTGGTCTGTTGTTGAGAATCCACTGCGAAAGCCTGCGTGATCTCTAGGCTGGTTAGAATCCAGACTGTCAAAGATGCGACTTGTGATGACTTTTGTGAACAGTTTGTAAGGAGGCTAATGGGTCGGTAAATCCTATCCCTTTTTATATGTCAAAATAACTTATGCATTTTTCCAGGTTTTCAGAGTCTTTCCATTGAGAAGGCATTTGTTAAAGGTTGGCTAGCTTCACTGTTGTATTTTCCCCTGCATCTATTTAAGGTCTTTTCTAATTCTGTCGTCCCCTGGTATCTCCTCTCTCTTCATGCCTTTAAGCACTCATTTTATTTCTTCTGTTGTGATGTTAGGTACGTCTCTAGTTACTGCATTTGCTTCTATCTGTGGCTGTTCATTTGAGTTGTATAGATCCATGTAAAAGTCTTCATTCTTATTATATGTCACTTCTCCGTCTGGCTTCTTTATTGCATTCATGCATTTCTCCTTATTTCGAGTCTTCTTTTAGCTGTTTTCATGCTGGTACTTGAGATCACTGTTCCATTTATCATTTGAGTATTGAATTTCCGTACATCTCTCTTTTTTATTTATAGTCTTTGTTAGTTCAGCTAACTCTATCTTGTCCCTGTTTGACGATACTTCCATGACCCATGTTTTTGCTTTCGGTAGTGTCTACCAAGAGCTTGCTGGAGCTTTGCTTAACGGTATTACCATCTACTTCAAATGCATCTTCCTTTATTATGTTTTTGAACTGTTTGCTGACTTGGTCAATGTTGAGATCTTCGTCTCTCAGAGGTGAATATCTGTTTTGAATGTTAAGGTTGAATTCTGTCGCTCTGGTCTTCAAGCTAACTAATTTGGCTGCGGTTTTCGTATGAGTTTGTTTCTTTCCCTTCTGAGGTGTAATTTATTAACAACTTCAACATTTTTTACTATATCACGCCTATTTGAAATTATGGAGTCAATTTCGTTTTTGATGTTCACTTCCGCTCTAGTCTTTTTGCGAAGAATGTACCGATTTGCATTAGCATTTGCCCCCTCTCATTCCTAGTGCCTATTCCGTGATTCTCTACTATGGTTTCTACTTTTTACCTATTTTGGTATTAAAACCTCCAATGATTATTGTGAAAAGGGTTTTTACTCTCTCGCTGGCTAAATGAACATCTTCAAAGAAACTCTCTATTTCTTCATCAGTGTAGCTACAGGTTGGAGCATAGACTTCAACAGTCTTTAAGTTGCACCTATTGTTTAGCTTTATTGTTACTGAAGCCATTCTTTCGCTTATACTATAGAATTCCACGATATTTTTTTCTAAACGTTTGTGAACTAGGAAACCTGCACCTAATTTCTGCTTTCTACCCTGGAGTTTACCTCTCCAATAGAGCATGTGTCTATCATTTAGCATCTTCTGTTCTTCGCAACATCCCAGTTAATGAAAGAGTTCCTCAAGTAATGCTAGTAAGTCGGATTCAGTTCTCGTTATCCTTATATTATATGTGCAAAGGTTCATCAACGTGGGGCAGCCTGTTTTTAACCAAAGATTTTTAGCACTTTCTGCTCCGTAGCGATCTTGATCACTGCTGTAACCAGGGGCTCCTTGGTCTCTGGGAATGAGTGTCGTTGCTCTGTTTGTGAAGTCATGGCATTTGGTTGGGAAGTAGACAGCCGAGTTAAACCCCACCTACTGGGTTACGTGTATCTTGGTGGGAGGAATATTTTAGTTTGGATGCCACTGATAATCCCCTCTAGTAGGGTTGGCCCTGTCTAGTGTGGACTTATGAGCAGCATCACATGGACCCGCTTACTACACCAGGGTATACTCCCGTGAGCATGAGCTTGAGTATCAGAAGTACATATATGTGTGGTTATATTTTATACACTGATTTCATTTATGTATATGTACACCCAGTGCTGACATAGTTGTTCCCCCTCGAATGCACTGAGTACTACGCATATGTTAATTTTCGTGCACATACATATGCAAGCATACACCTTTACATATGCTCCTATGCATATAATATGCACATACTCCAACATTATATACAACTACATATATGCACATACATACACATATATAGACATACACACATCATATGTGCATACATATGTGTATACACACCCACATATATGCGAACACACACATGCGTGCATATGTTGTACATGTACTTATGGCTATACATATGCATATATATATATAGCCATTCATATGCTTATGCAAATGTGTATACGCACATACGTTTACCCACATATATATGTATACACCTGTACATGCACATACATATACATATACATATACATATATGCTTACACATACAAATTCACATACATATACACACATACATACACTTATACATACACATACATTCATATATACACAAACACATACCCATATACATATATATGTACATACACATTCACATATGTACATATATATGTATATATATATATTTACACACACACACACACACACACACACACACACACACACACACACACACACACACACACACACACACATGGACACAGAAACCCACATACAGAGGGGTTCAGGGGAGGAAGCAAGTGATGTGGAGAAGGGTATTTAGGACAATGTTGGAATGGGTAAAGATGGGGTTTGGGGTTCGAGGAAGTTAGTTAGAAAGGTGATTTTGTATTTGGCAGTTTTTTCAGAGAGGTGTCGCATTCCTTAGCTGTTGCTAAGCCTACCGACGTGCGCCCTCGGCCGTCCGCGACCACGGGATTTTGGATTGTTACTCGATAGTCTAGTGGTTATAGCGATAGTTTAGTGGTTACAACGCCAGGCTCTGATACGGCACCGAACTGTGGATATGGGGACAGGTGGTGCTTGCCATTTTCTAATGATTTCGTAATTTGGTATTCTTTTCCTGGTGTGTGTGTGTGTGTGGGGGGGGGGGGTGAAGATTATATTTTTTTTATACCGCTACCTCTATCTGCTGTGGCACCTTCGAAGAGCTTTTTTAGCACGGTAATGGAACCTAATATTCCTAGTTGGCACTTTCTGGCATTCCTTCTAATCCAAGATGGAATTTTATAGACTTGTAAGACGTTTGGATGAATTATTATTTCTATTTTGTTTGGGATATAAGCTCTATATATTCACGATTTTTTTTCTCTTATGTAGCACAGATCACTTCTCACTCGTAATTTTCAGCACTTATTATCGCTGACCTAACCACGACACCTCTTACTCATTGCCAGATACTCATCATATATATATATATATATATATATATATATATATATATATATATATATGTGTGTGTGTGTGTGTGTGTGTGTGTGTGTGTGTGTGTGTGTGTGTGTGTGTGTGTGTGTGTGTGTGTGTGTGTGTGTGTGTGTTTGTTTGTTTG